GATCAAACCACAAGAACCTTAAAAAATTTCTATCTTCACTATCAATTTGAATTTGGTGAAAAGCCTTCTCTATGTCTGCACAAAATGCAACTTTATGTACGCGAAATTTTAAAATTATATCCAACAAGTTAGGATTTAAATTAGGGCCTGATATCAAACATTCATTTAACGATTTAGCTCCTTCAGACTTAGAAGAGGCATCATAAACTATTCTTATTCTTGTTGTTACTTTTCCTTCACGTATAACGGGCCTATGAGGCATATAATAACAGTTAGGTTCATTTTCAACAAACTTACATTGTTCAACAATCCCCCTTTCAACTTGTTCTCTAATTATATTATCATATTCATTATATAGGAAATCATTTTCCTTTAATTTATGCTTTAGTCCTAGAAATCGTTGTTTAGCAACGAAAAAATTATCAGCGAGTTGTGATTTATTGTCCTTCCAAAAGAGTTTTGTTTCGTACCTGCCGTTATTAAATTTTAAACTGTCGTTAAAATGCTTAATAGTATCCAAATCAGTTTCCGAAAATGTTTTGTTTTCATTTTCAATTCCTATCGAATCCAATTTCCAAAATGACTGCAAATCAAATGTGTTTCCTTCAACGGCAGATAAAAACAACGCATTAATTCGAGTATTATTATTTTTTACTTTACCCATCACTGTGTATCCAAATATGGTCGGTACTATAAACAAACCATCATTTATCATTGAATTACTTCCTGTTTGTATATACCAGAAATGCTCCGCGCCAAGCAGAATATTTATGTTCTCATTAACGGGACTTGTATCCGAAAGTTCCAAGCCCTTTTTAGTCATAAATTCTTTAATGTTTTGACATGTTGATGGCGCCTGGAATTCTATTGATGATATTAATTCTATCCCTATAGCTTCTACAACAAGGCAGCGATCATCGTTTTTATTTTTTATTTTTAGACTATATACATCAAATTCTTGCGAGTTACCGCGCTGATTTCCAAACGAATAAATTGTTAGAAATTCTTTTCTAATGACTTGCAATTCTAAATCGCGCGCTAACTTGTGGGTGATGAAGTTTCGTTCACTACCTGAATCAATTAATAATCTTACGATTCTCGATTTATTTTTGCTTTGAGCAATAACAGAACATGTCTGTAAAAGCACACTATTTTCAGGTTTTAGAGTGTTACAGTGGGAAGTAGATACTAAAGTTTTATTTTGCGTATCTGCAGAGTTAACATCTTCCATTTCTTTCGATTTCAAACGGCAGAAAAGTTTATTATGATTTTTCTCGTTACAATTTTCGCATGGTTGTATTTTTGATTGACAAAACGACCGCAAATGTGATCTCAGAAAGCATCTGTAACAGCGACCTTCATGTTTCAATTTCTTTCGTTTTTGTTCGTCGGAAAATTTCAAACATCCGGCAGATGTATGTTCGTTTGATTTGCAGAATATGCAAAACATTTTTACCGATGTGTTAAAAGCAGAAGCTTGTGATTTGACTTTATAATTTTTTAACCCTTGTTTAGGATTAACCCCTGTGTATTTATTACCTTTTGAGCTATTAATCAAAATACTTGCTTCTCGGCATTCAGTTTCTATTTTAATGAACTCTATTAATTCACTTACTTCTATATTTTGGTTAGATGTTCTTTTTCTATGGAATTCAAGAGCTAAATCTTCAGGTAACAATTTAAGAATTATTGGGTTCAATAACTGTCCGTATGAACCGCTAGTAACATCTAAACTACTTAAATTTCTAACGCAGATTTGTAACTGATCATAGAGCTTTCTTAACTCAAAAACATTTGAAGAACTTTTAACTGGTTCTAACTGTAACAACATCTGCATGAATTTTGATATAATAACATCTTTACGACCAAACCTCTCTTCTAAACTTTTAATGCATAGATCATAATTTTCTTCTTCAGATAAAGCATAACCAGAAACACAATTATATGCTGAACCAGATAATAAACTTTTCAAATATGTAAACTTATCTATTTTAGATAAACTTGGATTAGAATGAATAGCATTATCATACGAATTAAAGAATTCGAGCCATTTACTGGGATCACCAGCAAATTTTTCAATATTTAATTTAGGTAACTTTACTGAAGCACTACTTGTAACAACATTATTACCATTCAGAGTACTACTAATACCATTACTAGTTGTAATTATACTTCTTTCAACAACTTCATTACTGTTAATTTTCTTTACTTTACTAACAATCTTAGCTTTAAACGTTATAATTTTTTCATCATATTCTTCACATACAAGTAGTTCGTTATCATATTCTTTTTCATCAATTATGAGAGCATCGATCTTTGAGTCAAGAGTTTTAAAGTTTCTCATGGTATTCAATTAACAATTCATATGATGAATTTAAATCTTCTAGATGTTCTTTACTTAATTCTTCCGATAATAATTTCTCAAGTTTATTTAGAAGTGTAGTAACTTTACTACGTACAATAGCACGTTTCTTTTTCTCTTTTGCTAAATCATCCATTATGTTTCGTTTTCAAAGATCGATACCAAGAACAAATAAATCAAAAGTCTTACCTTTCAAAAGGTAATTCCCCTTTTCGCGGGTTTCAGACCCCAGAAAAATGTATGGTGTCTCTCTTCATGAGTCATAAATTCAAAGATCGTTTCGTTTCAGGAGTCAAGGTTGGGAGAGCATTAGAATTTCAAATCAAAATTTCAAGAGTTCACGGAACATAGAAATAACATTTATTAACGATAAACTTATATTACTTCCGCTTATAGCGGCCATGAAACATAATCAAGCATCAAATAAATATGACATGCGTCATTCTTCATGTTCAAGCGTCAAGTGGAATATTTTTCATCGGCGCGCATCAAGAGCGCCACCTATCTACCAAAAAGACGGAACAAATTAGCACTTTTCTATCATCAAATGCATAGTTTTTTTTTTTTTTTTTTTTTTTTTAAGAATACCAGAAATCTTTAATTAAATTCAACAATTCTAAAATGAAAAGAAAACATGTTGAAGGGGGAAAACTGAATACATAAAGAGAAAGAAAATTTTTCTTCAAGGATGTGCATAGTTATTATGTAAATTATCTAGTTGTTTATAATTTCAGTCTTTACTATAATTTCTCATTTCTATTTCTTCACCAGAATACAGATAACTTAGTTTTTAAGCTGAGGTTTTTGAAGTAGAGTGTGTTTCTGATCTCCACTCGCTCGCTGCATTCGTTCCTGCCAACACTGATAATTTGTAATTATTTCTCTCTGCATTATCACTGCTGACATTTGAATTTGTTATGATGATAAATTTACTGAATCAGCTTAAATTAAATTGTCTTTGACCACTAGTCCACATTTAGTTTGACTTTTCTTGTTTAATTACATTACCACAAGCTCTAATTGATTTTATTAGCATAAGAAGATGCCATTATTTTTTAAGTTCTTTTTAAATAAGAGGCTTATTTAAACCTTTGTCTGGCTTTGTAGCTGTTTTCAGACATAGTGATAATTTGCTTAAAAAGATAAAGTAAACCCTCACAGGTACATTATGGAGAGGTTGACAAGTTAGGAGATAAAGTATTGTAATGTATTTTAAAGTAATTGACAAAATAACAGATAATCTTCTTAGTAAAACTTAAATTTTAGTTTTAGTTTATGGAGATATATAATTTGAATACAATTCTTTAGTGGCAAAATTTTCATACAAGTACTAGCTGGTCAAACTTCAGAATTCTGATTTTAAACAATTTCTTACGTTGCTGAGCAATGGTTACATCATATAAATATGATGTTGCCACTTCAATAATAAATATAGTTATTTGTTAAATAACAAGAAATTACAGTACGAAGAAACTAGCGAGAACACTGTTTTACATATTGAGCTTTATAATTGTTAGAAAAGATGCTTAAAGAGAAGGAAATTGATATAAATTAGCCAAAATGTCTGGGAAGGTTTCTTTAATAGGGCTTTATAACAAATATTGTTAAAATTTAAATAAAATTTAATAACGGCCAAGTAAATCCATAGTGACTAATGTTATCTAGCTACCTACTTTAATTATTTATAACTAACTGCTTACCCTTAAAAATTACCTCTGCATAGTAAAGCGAGTTATTGCCATTCATTAATCCTTATCGTAGTCACAAGATAAAAACCCAAAATGTAACAATTCATGTAAAAGTTATTTTTCACACCTAGAGAGACTTAAAATAATACAAAAGAACTTATAACCTCTGGTGCTTTAGTGGCTTATTGGAACCTTAAAGTATATTAATTTGGGTTAAAACCCCTGGAACTCTACATGAAGCTATGGTATTAACTGTGTCAGACAGAGCCCAATTAACTTACAAAACTTGCCAACCTTTGCCTACATCAGGCCTTTCAGGTTTGTTCTGATCAGCAGGTCTCTCTGTAGGCAAGCAGCAGAGGTGACAACAGCCAATCTTTTGTTATGAATCATGCTGATTATGATTTTCTTTTCATTTTAACCTTTGCCGCTTGACAAAATCTACCTGCTATTCACTAAACCTCTAGACTGAGCAAGTATGTGACAAAATGAGACATAAAAACAATCAGTATAAAGCTAACAATTAGTGAAGCATAAATAAATGTAACTTATCTTCTTTCAAATATGTTTTGATAAATTTCATAAAGTTCATTTTATTCCTAAACTTATTAATAATATGTTAATTAAGTTATGTTTAATAATAATGCATCTTATAGATGTATTTTAATTTTAGGATGGTATTACAAAAGTGAAGTTCAGGCATAAATAATATTTTTAATTTAATTTCAGTTAGGCCCTTAATTTTCTCATTAATGGTCCTTCAAAGTGCTTAAATTTCCATATGCAGAAATGTGTAGCAACCCTGCATTTTTGATACACTAACTTCATGAAAAATACAAAAGTTTCATGTTTACTTAATCAATACATTTAATGAGATTTTTAACAAATGACATATTTAAATTATAATTTTTTGGTATCATAACTTAGTCAGTTAAAAAAAAATGTCTTGATATAGATAATAATTTTTTAATAAATATATTTCAACAACTTCAGATTTTGCAGACCAAAATCTAATATCTAATACAAACACATATTGAATAAAAAGTGTTTATATTCACATATATATATATTTTTCTCTCTAGAAACTTCAGAAACGTGAACGCATATAATGGTCAATAACTGTAGAAAAAGCAGCAAATCCTGCAGCACCAACAATTCCAGCTTTAACACCAGCTAAAAATAAAATGTCAAATATTAGTATATGAAAAGTTTAATAAAAACGATTACAGTTCATCATATTGTATACAGTTAAAAATATGCCGATTTCTCATTTTGAAATAACAATGGAACAATATCATTTTAAAAACTGGTTGCATTGTTAAAGTTAAGGTTATTCAACAACTGCACTGTTGAAATTCTTCATAACATACTGCTTGATTTTATCTTTAAGATTGTGATATTGCTGTATAAGCTATTCATTTCCATAGAATGGGATTTACTAGTTTGTCACCAAGCATTATCAAGTCTAAAAATAAGGCATAGTTACTATTCAAGTTTCAAACTTGCAGTTGTTCGTTACACTAAAATCAAAGCAAGATAGGCCAGAAGGAAATATGAACTTGATATATCTAATATATTGCATAATAATGCATTTGCATTGGATTGCTGCTGAGATGAAACTGCAAAATGCACTTTTAATGAGAAGTCTTTCAGGAGACCAAACATATATTTAACAAAACAATATCATAACATATATATAACAAATATTTTGAACTTGAAGGTAGAGTTCTTTCCTACATTCAAGTGAAAAGAAAAGATGAGATATCTATTTCACATGAGGTAATCCAGCTGAATGCCTAGGAAATTTCAAGACTACATTCCAAGCAAGTATTGACTGGTGTTAGCTCATATTTTATGTGCAGAAATGGTCTTGTTCTTCGGTGAAGCACCATATTAATACTGAGATAGCCAGCAGATGTTAAAGAGGAATTGATGAATTTCTAATGGTACATCATCTAAATGCAGCAGCCTTGCTCATACTCATTACAACAGGCAATGCTGATGAAATGTTGTATGACAACACCACATATTCATCATGCCAAGCTATATGACAGTAGAGGAGAAAGGGCTAAAAAGTATTACATTAAGAACAATCAGCAACAAGATAATGAGAATAAAGTTTATGTTTACCATTACAGCCAGTGGAGGAAAGTTACCTCCTTGTGTTATTTTAAAATGAAAAACTTTGCCCAAGAGTTTAGCAATTCACTAGGAAGAAAAAAAAGGTGTAGCTTAGTCAAAGTAATATCATGTATTCAATTGCTCCGGCTTTACATTTTAGAAGGTGCGCCAAAAAGCAGCATTGCCTCAAGTTTAAAATAATTGAATGCAGCATTGCAAGAGGAATCACTTGATATTACTTTCATCAAAGTACAATGATTACATCACTTATTACTGACAATTAAGTAGTGAAATATGTGCAAGTTTTCATGCAAACCTAAATGATCCCCCACAGGAGCCACGAAGACAAGAACTCAGTGCTGTGTATACAGTACAACCTAATAGCCAGCCTGAAAAGATGAAACCCTAATTACTTTAAGAATATTTAAACATGGATTTCTCTGGATCTAATCATCATACATAGCCTGAATAAAATTTAATATTTTCGTCTCCTCATCCTGATCACAAATATCTAATTTACTTTTTTCCTAATTTTTCTGATTTATGATTAGCATTATTTTGCAAATATTATGTCTTATCATCTGCTCCATGTCATATAACAGTTTTGAACTATACGTGTTTTATGTGCCCATATACGATTTATGTATCGAAGTTTTTATGCACTTTATATAAGTGCTTGAATAACTGCATTCCTTAAAATGTGTTTTAGGCATCTAAATGTGATTTATGTGCTTAGAGTAAACCTTTGTCAAACACCAGGTTTGTCATTAATACATTGAATGCATGGCAAAATCTCATTGTGCAAAGTTGATTTTCTATATAAAAAATGTGTTAGCTATAAACAAGATTAAGAAAGTATGTATAATTTAAAGAAACCTAAATAGTGGTGCAATTAAAAGGAAAATAAACAAATATTAATTGAAATTTTCATTATTGCTTTCTAAATATGTGACTTATTTATTTATTTATTTTTTTAAAAAAGCTGATGATTTCTGCTTGCAACAATGATTGAGGTAACTCTTTAAAAGTTTTGTGGTAAGAAGTGCAAAGTTTTTCAAAGCCTGCTATAAAGTGTCATTTTTTTTTTAATTGGGTCAATCTTCTTTGCAAAATCAGACAGTACCTATGACTTATTTAAAAATTCCTTTAACTTCTTATAAGTTAAAGGAGATTAAGCACCTTTAAATTCCTATAAGTTAAAGGCAATCCTTCACCATCATTGTGTTCACTATCGGCAGGTTTTATAAAATCACCAGGTGACAGTGAAATCATTCATCTGTCATTTCTCAGTCATGCAATTCTCAATAAAAAAAAATTTTTTTTCTTCTTTCACCTCTGAAAATCCTTTCTTGCTAATTGCATTTGCAATCTGTATGGTTTCCCTGGCTTCATATTCATTTGATGAAAATCCTTAAAAATTGTTGATAATGTCTGGCAAGAGCCAATGCCAGCTAACTTCATTGTTGATGAATGAATGTTGAACCAAGCATAAATGAAATTCTAGCATTTTGCAAATTAAATGGAAACAATTAAAATATTCTGTATATGAGGAATTATGTTCCGCAAACCAGAGCTTCGCAAGGTCTACTGTATATATGCTTTATGTATTTATAAGTGTTGATGCATATGTATGTATAATTTCTGTTCAAATGTTATGTTATCATCAAGCCGACCTCCCAGTCACCATATGTAATTGAATTAACAGCCCTTGTCTGGGAATGTAACCAAATAATATTTAAAATTAACTCCCAATGAGATGTCTTGTGACTTTAGACAGTATTGAGTGTGGGACAATACCTGTTTACCAATGTTAACCATAGGTGCCTCCATCCTCTGGCACCTGCTAGAAAGAAGGCTATGGAAATCAGGACTGATAGGTTGTCTGCTATTCGAAACTGCAAACCTAGAGCTCTGCTTGCCAAGAAAGTCATGTTAGTTTTGCATGCTTTTAAGGATCATCTCACACGAAAAGTGAAAACTAAACTTGCTCCACAGAAGACAGGCCTTATTGTCTTACTTGGTGGCCTGACTTCCCAATTGCAAGTGCTTGATATCATGGTAAACAAGCCATTCAGAGACCATTTATGACAACATTATTCAGATTGGCTTCTGGAAGGCAATTATGGGCTCACACCATCTAGTAAGTTTTGAAAGCCATTAGTTCACTTCTGTGCCAATGAATTCTAATTTTATAGTCAACAGTATCATCAGAGAGTATCAAGGATTTCATGAAATGCTGTTTGTCAAATGCATTGGATGGTAGCAAGGACAACATATTGTGCGAGAATGGAGAAGAAAGTAGTGAAAGTCATGGGGTGAGTACCAGGATTGAAGTCAGTTGTGATAGCAGTGGATAAGTAAATTTCATTGCGCAACAGTGCCAGCAGTTCACAAAAGGCTGCCAAAATATAACACACAACTGTTACCTAGATTTTCCAATAATAATACTGTATTTATCATAAAATAAAATGTTGGACCAGTAATTAAATTTCCCTGAATCTGCTGGAAAATGATTACAGGTATTTTTTTTCTTCCCTCTTTCTTTTCTTCGTATATTCAAACATCATCTTTTTTCTTTTTTGCTACTTTAAATTTTATGGTGCCATTTATATTCAAGTCAATACCACATATTATTCACATGCCAAATTTAGATCCAAAGTGAACATATGTTGAAATATTTATATCTTCTGCTTAATAAAAGTTCAATTTATGTTACTTTACCTCCACAAAAGACCTACGTTAATATTCCTTTTTTCAATTAATAAAAGTAATCTGAAGATGGTTTTCACTTTTACCGGGCGAAGGGGGGGGGTGAAAAGTGGAAATCTCACAAAATTTTGTTTTAGGCAGTAACTGAAATTAAATATAATTAAAACAAAGTAATCAAAATCTTGTTTTCTGCTACTTATATAGCTTATATTCAATTATAAGAACATCCTACCCTTTTATTCATAATCACACAAATACCTATTGTTCACAATATTATACAAAAATTTGATAATTGGTCACCATGTTACAAACACATCTTCTAAAATCAGTATTCGTTCTCAGTTGTTTAGTTACTCAGTTCTCACTGCTACATGGTTTATAACATCAGAAACAGTATTTTGAAAGTTTAAAAAATTACAAAAGAGCCAAAGATGATCATATTCATTTATATAAGTTTTCTTCCAGAAATACTAAGAATTCAAGATTGAAAGATATTCCTTCTTAATAGGATTTTTGATATGCTAAGTTCTGCACACTTAAAATTGCATAAAATTTAAGTTGAATTAGATGAAAATATGTAATATTTTTAACAAATACACTAGCTTCTTTCTAGCAACAAAAATAGAATTACTCAGTACAGAACTACTTTTTTAAAACTATAAATCTCATATAGAATTTTTTTGTATGTTTTACAAGAGCAGTTTAAACCACTTATGTTAAAGTTATTAAATGCATTCAGCAAAACATCTGAATTGAAAGTATTTATAGATATTTATTCTAAAATATATACACAATTACTATATGCAAGCTTTATTCATAATTAAAATCTATATTATATTTTTAGGAAATAATTATTTTCCATATATACTAGAATTGTATAAATACATAAAAATTGTGTGAATTGCTTCTTCTTTTTCTTTGAAAAATTTTCTTTAAAGCCAGTAAGTATTATAGCAGGCTATTTTTCTGAAATCTCAAAGTATAATTTCAGTCAAAAATTCCTAACAAAAGAGTATATTTACTGTATTTACTCAAAAATAAGACTCCTTTTTTGCTATACAGGTAGCCCTCCTACAACATGGCATCCTGTAACACGGATTTGCTATAACATGATTCATAAATTGCAAGAACCCTCCTACGACACAGTTTCGCTCTAAGATGGTAAGAAAAATGCCCAAGCAATCTGAAGAAATGTAACCAACTCAGCACGAAATTTTTCCATATTGTGCACAGCCCCCATATAGTCATTTAACACGTAAGAATGCTTGTTTCGTAAGTTCTGCCAGTTATCTACCAGGATCCGGTAGCCGTAAGAGCAAATGTCCTCAGATGACCCCTATGAACAAATGTCCCCAGATAACAATGAAGAAACCTCACTACCGCAGAAGATGAACATCGTGAGGTCACAATAAGTGCTCTAAAATGCAAAACCTGCTCGTTCAGCTTCCAAAATTCGAATCCTTGTCTCCATGGCCTAAAAAACAAAAGTGTCTCACACTGCTGGTCGGCAGTCTGCCCCGAGCCAGTGTTAAAAAATAACTTTTTCGTCTTTAAGACATTAAGTTTCAGTTCTGATTTAAGGTGTCTTTACGGTGTTGTGTGCTTAAAGGCGTAAATAAAAACACCTTACCGGTATATTGGAAAGCAAATCCAAGAGCTTGGGTAGCTGGGAATATATTTAAAAATTTGTTTTTTAAATTGTTATGTGCCAGACACTGAACATTATTTAAGGCAGAAAAATTTGAGCTTCAAGGCTCTTATTACTATTAGATAATGCTCCATGTCACCCACAAGATTTAAATCATCCCAATGTCAAAATACTGTTCCTACCAAACACTACTTCGTTACTCCAACCACTGGATCAAGGTATTATTTATACCTTTAAATCATATTACATAAGAAGAGCATTACAGCAGATTTTAGACATAACCAATTCAAAATCAATTAATGTAATGGAAGCTTGGAAGACATTTTCAATCAAGAACTGAATCGATATCGTACCTTTGTTGCTGAAAGAACTGAAAGCATCAACATTAAATGCACCGCATTTAACGATGATTTAACATTGAACGCATTTAATGTTGAAGGGCCATATCTTGGAAGAAGATATGGCCCTCTTCAGATGAAATAAAAAACATGCGTGAATTGTCAGAAAATGAAATTGGTGGCATATTAAAACTTGCTAAATCAATCGGAGGTGAAGGTTTTGTGAGCATGGCTATTGATGACGTTCAAGATTTATTAGCGGAAGAAGAAATTGACGAAGATTTGAAAGATATAGAATCGGAAGCTGCAAATCAAATCGATTTTGAGGACACTAGAACTGATGAAGATTCTGGAGTTAATAATTTAACATTAAAAGAATTAAAAGAAGTCCTAAGCTTAGCTGAAAATCTTGAGTTATTTTTCTTCAATGCAGACCCTTCCGCTGAAATAATCTGAAAATTCAAAAGGGAGCTGCAAAACTGTTTAGCTCTATATTGATAAATTTAAAACGTCTTGGTACGAACTAGTAAGCAAAGTGAAATTACAGATTTCTTAAAGAGGGAAGAAAATGCCAGAACTTGAAATGAAGAAAGAAATTCTGAAAGTAAAAGCGGTCTTATTCCACCGAAGAAACATTCTCTGTTGATTATACTGAGCAATGACAACAAAGAAATTTATTAAACTAAAGTTGCATTAAATTAAAATATGTAATATTTTTTATTTTGTGCTGTACATACATATATATTTTTAATAAAAATTAAGTTGCTTATGTATAATTAAAAAAAATATTTGTTTTTAGTAAGTTTTCGGAACGTTCATTAAACTAGAAATATTTTTAATTTAAGCATATAATATTACTAGTTGGCAATATGCCAATTCTGAATCCTGCCAGTATTTTCTAGAACATAATTCTACAAGATCCTGTGCATAGATCTCCTTTTTGGAAAACCTTACATTCATCAATACATTTCTTGACAATCTGCACAGAAATGTTTGTCGCTTAGTCTATTAACATTAGAAACTTTTTCAAAATTGATATTTTATTTTTAATAATGTAAAATGCAAATATTCTGCTTATCATTTTATGTACAGCATCTACTATCAGTAACCTTTTGTAAGACATTTAACTTGTTTTGTATTTCATTTTTATAATATGCACAAAATTTTCCTAACTCTAAATATAGGCACCAAAAATGTATATATAAAAAGTTAGATTTTGTAATTTTTGCAAAATGAAAATTTTTAACAAAAAATCCCAAAACACGAATATTTGCATTAGTTAAAACACTTTTTGTACCTGAAAGTATGTGTCTACAACCAACAGTTGTGAAAATAAAGGCCAAGTAATGACTTTTGTGGACACAGCTTATAAACTGCATAACTACTACTAATTACAACATTTAGTTGACTTCAATTTAAGCCTGCATCTATTATACTGGTAAACCAGTTTAATATATGTTTAGGCCTGCATATATTATACTGGTAAAAAGGTAACAATGTATCATTTTCCTGATTCTTCTTTTTTTACCACAGTAAAATTTTGTATTCAGTTAGGTAGCTAGCCTTTCATTCTAATCAGAACTATGCTCTTATCAAATAGTTACTTGCATTATTATTTGTTTAAATTTATTCTAAAATGTAAGGGGGTCTTTGAATAAATATAATACTTTATTAGCAACTAAGGATATACATGATTACCTCTTAGACCAATCATTCCTCCTGTTATTCCTCCAGCTAATGTTCCATTCTTCCAATCACTTTTGCCTCTGTGCTGTTAAGTTGGGAAAAAAAAAAAAAAAAAAGTATATGTACGTATATAAATGACTGAGGAATAAATCAGAAATAAGATAAAAAAAACTACATGAAGCTGTACCAAAGTGTGTAAGGTTTTGTATTAAAAATATTTTTTTATTATTACAATAATGATGCAAATCTTAAAAAAATTATTAGCTGGATATATGTTAAATGCATTTTAATTATATTACTTAGATATATCAGTAAAAAATAAAAATTTAAATTAGTTGGATGTGTATTTATTGCTTGTAAACCCCCCAGTTATTTGAGAAATACACTTACAATTTGAAACACATATATTTTACGACATGTCACCATCCTAGAAAGTTTTTTTTTTTTGCCAGGCCATATGGAATATGCTATATTTTTTCAAAAAATTTTATCTTCATGATGTTGAATTTATAGCAAAAATTCTGCATTTAAATTATAATTAGACAAAAATCATTCAGTCACTTTTCTGCTCCCCCCCCCCGCGCCAAAATATGTTTTCCAAATCCTTACAAACTTTTTCATTGTTCCATTACTTATAACTGGACATCTAATTATGGAAAAGACAAATTACGGTTCTTTGTTAAAGAAAAGAATGCCTTTGTAGAAGACTTTAACGGAAACTAGTTTGTATTTATATTACATACAGGAAAAACCATAAAACTTCCATACAACCTGTCCTTTTAGCTGCTCGAAATGGAACTTAAAATGAACTAAAAATGTTTTGTAATGTAAATCATTCAGGCACTAATTGGCTTATGTATTTAATGGTAAATACAATTTTGTAACAGAAAAGATATTATGTAATGTATTTACTGGTAAATATAATTTTACAACTTACATGAATTACTATTAGATTTACATAGTACATTACATGTTTACTTTCAGTGACTAAATTCCTGATAACAGAGACTAAATTAAAACTCTACTTCTAAATACCTATAATTTTGTGGTATTTAGAAGTTCATAATTTTATGATAAACAGGACTGATCTTAGTTTTATGTAAAAACAAAAAGGGGGGAGTAAATTATTATATACTAGTATCAGCCTTGAGATGATTTTCAAATGCCCATGTTCATTGACAAATATAACATCCATTAAAATTTGAATTGCAATATAAGAATTACTGGAAATAATTGGATTAACAACATCTGAAACAATAAAGATTGCAAAAAATTACTAAAATGTTTTTCAGCACACGACAAGTTTTAGTCACTTTGTAAGAAAAGTTTTGTTGATAATATTCCCAAACAGAATTTCTGAAACTAAAAACTTCAGAACTATGGTACTTCTAGTTATTTATGGAATATAACGAGAATTTTTTATGAATTTCAACTTCATTTTTTATGAATTGATTTTCCTCTAGATACTCAATCATTTAGAATGGCAGGTCTGTTGATATTTTATATATTTCCCTAGTTACATTCATGCAACAATGGTTCATAATAAATCTATGTTAGTCTATATTTTTTTATATGATAGAAATAAAGAATTTGAAATTGGAGTTTTAAAATTTATATATCAGAAGAGTGTTTCTCAAGTCATGGTCCAAAATTCATTACCCTATTACCCTACTTACAGACTTCATCTTCAAGTCTTAGCAACAAAAGAAGGATTTAAAGCATCATGACTGTGGTGCTTCTCACCATCCTTTCACTGCACATCTGGCACTGCACCTGTAACTTAGCCAGGGACCATTTCAGTTCATCAAAATACCACGCTGCCCAACCAGAATAGTGGTTAGTGACTCTGACTGCTGTACTGAAGGGCCTTGGCTTGAATTCTAGGGAAGATATAGATGTTTGTAAATGTATAATGTCTGTACAACATCTAAATATGTAGTGAGCCAAAAGTCTTCTCGGGTGGCTGGTGGTAGCAGAAAAGGGGTGAGAGACTCTTGACCCATTTTTCCAAGGTGCTTTCTTTCAAATTTGTGGGCAGAACTTAGCTAAGTCGGGTATTGTGGGCTTGTGTTGACCTTTATCAAGCAAGTGAGACTACTAACAACAAAATACTGAGCTTTCTTTTCATGTGTTTACAACTTTAAAGCTATGGAGGCACACTGAAATACCACGTACATCAATAAACTATACCTTTACTTGGTCTAAACTGAACGTGTTTATGCATTAATTTTTTAATTTGTGATTTCCAAGATAACAATAAGGAAATTTTTAGACTTTGCCTGTTTTAAAATTTGAATGCAGAAATTTAAATTATATTTCATTTCTATTTTTTGTAGCCAATAACCAGTAACTTATAAAGAAATTATATGTATTGTTGATTATGATGTATTGTTGAGTATACCAAACGGATTTTTCTAATAAGAAATAAAAATAAAGTAATTAATTCACTCGTCTCTGGTCTTTGTTTGGTGACTAATTCACCTCCTTCTTGCCAGCTAATATGTTTTTATTTTCTTCACAATCACAGACACTATTATACTCAGCTTATGGTATGATATAACCTTAGCTTAGATATAGTCCCAGATGTGCATACCATCTTGATACTTTTTACTCAATCTCAGTAGCGATTCTAACAATTTTCTTTATTGTTTGACTCTTCTCATTAACATTCCTAAAACTCATGGTTAAAGAATTTACACAAACATTATGCAAAAAAAAAAAAAAAAAAAAAAAAAAAACCCACTCGGAAATTTAGAGTTATAGGGTGGGATGATTATTGAACAGTAGCAAAATGCTCATGGGTAGTCGTAGCATTGTCTTGAAAGAGATAAACAAAGAAAGTATATGCAGTCATAATTTATCAAGCTTATCATACACCAAATGGAGATTCTTGTGTCCAGACAGAATGTATATCAAGTTAGACATATTTCAAAGCAGATGCATACTGAGGTACAACTGTATTTCATCAGTTATATTTTAAAAATATGAAAATTAAATTCTGCGGTTCTGTGTGCATTCAATCCATTGTAAATCCATATGCACATAACAATATGTTATTCAATTCTGCCTGTATGTATGATCTTTTCATCAGAGGCACAATCTCAGAGGCCCACTTTGGATATCGAGAAAATATATCCACGTTAAATGCCCTAGACATTATTCAACATGAAGTGAAAGCAATTAAAAGCAACAAATACCATGCAACCATTTTTAGTCTGGACCTACAAAGTGCATAAAGATTCTCTGTGGTGCTTGCCCTAATAGAGGCACTGCATGGAGCCTATATTCCTAATAATCTTCTGATTACTACATTCATCAGCTACTTCAGCAACTGGACCTATGTTGTGGTCCACAATGAAGGGCACTTGTGGCAGACTTGAAAGCAGTCTCGGGCTGCCCACAGGGTCCAGACATTTGGAATGTTACTTTCAATTTGAATCTTAAGGGCTATTCCCAATAAGGTTTATCTGAACTAAAGGTATCAGTTTCATGTGTCGATTAGCTCCGCTATGCCTGCAGTTCAGATTTTTCAACTTGCTGCCCTATGGGAAAAACTGGTTTTGGAGATGGGTCGGCTACATCAGTTGCCTCCATTAGCTCATATAAACCCCAGTGGGAAAGGCTCTTTAAAGTTCAATGGCCATCACACACACAGGCTCTGGCATTTGATGATGCCATGTTAATTGTTCAAGGGCATAGCAGAGACATTCTACGGAAAAACTGCAATTAAGTTATAGTCCTGTTCCATCGTCTCTATTGCCAGAAATGTCTTAAAATCTCGGAAATGAAATCCAGGTACATTTCCTCCCACAAACCTGGCCAAACTATCCAAAGAAAACCATTAATAGAAATGAACGGTAAACAAGCAAAATGAGCCACAGAACTCAAACTCCTGGGCCTTGTTATAGATGAAGACTTGATTTGGATACAGTACCAAAGCTTTGCACATAGTAAATAAGCTTAAAAGCATGCAAGATTCTGATTGAGGCCTAAGACCACATATTCTCAAAACAATTAACAATATGGTAGTGGAAAAAGTCATTATGTGCAGAGTGGAAATCTTGGCCAGCACCATGAGTACACATAAAATCAAGATCTTGAATAGTGCACAACACCTGTTTGCCTTAGCCATCACCAAAACATATCGTACTATAGCAACTGCAGCTACCACAGTCCTAGCAGCTCTCCACATTAGGGCAGTCATGGAGTCAGCAATAACAACTGTTACAATGCTTAAAAGATTGTCAACATTCAGAAATTTTCACCTTAAACTAGCCAATTATGAGTATAAGAGTTCGTTGCTCAGTGTCCATCCAGAACAACATGAAGCAGATATCCATGCCCACCCAATGAAGCTCAACAGACAAAATTTTCTTGGAAAATGCAATTTGCATATACACAAATGGTTCCAAACTTGATGGAGGAGTTGCATGCAGTGCTGTAATAAAGTGTAACAGTGAAGTTTACAAGCATGGAAAGGGGACTTTGGATCAGGAAATATAGTATTTCAAGCTGAAGTGGCCACAATTAGGCAATGGAACAATTTGATGGGCACACATCCTGCATCTTCACAGACAGCCTTTCTGCTATTTATGCAATCTGTAATCCCTACCATCCCTCTATTCTGATAGCAGACATACAGGGTTTGCTTAGAGAAAGCGAGTTGAAAGACTATTCACATCTTCTGGATAAAGGAAGATGTTGGATACCAGAAGAATGAAGTAGCCGATAACTTCACAAAAAAAAAAAAAGCAGTAAGAAATACGAATGCTCAGCCTGTGCCCATTCTGCTACCTGGACCTAATCTCAAAAGAGAGATCTGGGAGAAGGCATTAAAACAATGGTAAGAGAAATGGGATACAGCTCCTCAAGGTAGAAGAGTCCATGCATTTTACTACAGACTTTCCACTGATCGACTTATCTTGCCACCATCTGTAACAAGATTTGTAATGTGCATGGTCCCTTCCCAGAGTAAAAGAGGATATGTCTCATCTAACCTCTGTATGTGCAGATAGGCTGGTACACCAGATCATTACATAACAGCATACAAACTTACAAAGGCGTGGCACATGGGGCTGCCTGTTGATGATGCACCATTCATGCGCTTCTTCATTAACCGTTTGACTGCTATGCGGCACAAAAGCGCTGTGTTCATTTGTCTTGGAAATCGCGACACAGCGCTTTTGTGCTGAGAGTTTCAGTGTGTCTTTGTTGCTTTATAATATGAAAAGAATTATTAAAATTGATTGATATTTGTCTAAATGAGAGTGTTTTATTTGACAACATCAAGTCAAAATATGTCCCGAAGTTTTCGTGCATTCTTGCAAGAATTGCTTAGCAGTCAAATGGTTAAGCAACCTACTCTACTCAGAAAACTTAAGCTCATAATAGAAAAACTGCAAGCTTTAGGACAGAACCTTTATAGTGTCATATAGTGCACTATTGATACTGCCCAATCTTCAGAACTGTCTTACTCTTGGGTGCCTCATTGTATGCTATTAGTGCTCTTATGTGGCATGTTAGTGTGTTATTTAGTGCACATATGATGGACCCCTGTACACTTAGAATTAACTTATGTATCCACAGCAACTATAAAATGCATCAGGGTAACTTACGTATGTGTATCTATTTATATATATGTATATACATACACACATATATATATTTACATATATGTATGTATGTATCATTGTAGAATTTGCCAGTAATTATAGTAAAACAGTGTAAAATGTTTACGTACCTGCAACAATGTACACATGTGTGAAACAAACATTATTGCAACAATATATTCCCAGTGTCTAAACCTAGGTGCAGATAAAATGCACCACAGTAATGTTTAAGTATTGTGCATAATATTTATGTAAAAGCTGCAGTATGCAATTATTATATTACATTAAATGTTTAAATATCAGTTTAAAATGCTTAGATTTCAGGGTACAGCATCAACAGATGTTTCTATTATGCTCCCGATGCCGCACTTCTGGGGTGCCAAACAGTTTTTGCATTGTACAGTTGTGGATTCTGGATGATACCCAAATAGTCCTATTAAGCCAACCGGGTGGCTGGATTCGCTCTCACCTGTCATCTGTATGTATGGTAAATTTTATGTTTGTTCTTTTTTCCAGATAATGAAAGATTTAAACCTATTCCTAATTGAAGTACATATATCAATGGACAGGGACTTATTGGCCACTCTGTATGTAAGTGTATATACACATATATTAAAATTCCTAAAAAAAATTAACATCCTCATGAAACAAAATATAAAATAACAGTATAAATTAGATGATAAAACTAGCAGTGATAACTTCTTAAAATTAAGTGATAAAACTGAACATAAAATAAAATAACAAGTTAAAAAATTCAAAATATATACTTAAATTCATAAACTTGTAAACTTGCCTGTTATAAATCAACCCCCAATATTGCTTTATTTTAAATAAAATGGCAAGTATTTTAAAAGACGAGCAAAATGGCAAATATTAAACATTTGAAAATCACCATCAAATTAGTAAACTAGGCAGTTCCTAAACTTAATCAATTTCATTATACAATAAATAAAAGACAGACAGAGAATATGCACTTTTTATAATTTAATTTATAGTATTTCATATTTTTGTTTCATGAGCATATTAAAAATTGTTTATAATGAAATTTTATATTTTAAAATTAATTTTGCTGCTTAAGCACAAATAAATGTTTTTGCTTTTAATTTCACATAAAAAACTTACACTTTCTATACCACATTCTATAGCAGAAAAAACAGCACCTATCATTGCAAAGCTTTTCCCATACGATAAGATTTTTACTTTAAAGTCATTCATAATAAATTTTAATGTCTGTTTTTCAGGAGCTATGCCAATACTTGGATCCATACTTGCTGAAAATAAACCCAAAAATGCTCCACATGCAAAACCTGAAATGAAAAAGAAACTTTATAATATATACAATATTACACATAATCTTGAGAATAGTCATCACTGAAGTTTTAATAATTAAAAAAGAAAAGAGACGAACCTGTGCGTTAACCACTAGATTGCAAAATGATGAAAAATAAAAAAATAAAGGTCGGAATGAAAATGAATAAAATTATTTTCCAGAAATCTGAAGGTCTAACCTTTTCTCTCTGGGTAAAAGTTAAATGTAAATTAAGGAAGCTTTAAAAAATTAATCTCCTCTACTTAATGTTTCAGACTGAACTTGTCAAGGGAAAAGATTTTTGGAGCTTTAAATCAAGTTGATTAATGAGTTCTGAATACACGTTTTGTTCCCATGAACCCTTTGAGACTTAAAACCACTTTTTATTACTAAACCTTCATTTTAAAACAAATTTCTAATAGGTCTGAAATGCTCAGATCTTTTCCCTATGTGCATTCATACTCAAAGTAAACAAAAATACAGTACAAAGTCCGTAATGCAGAATCGTCGGGACTTGAGCGATTCTGGATTATAGATCATCAATTTAAATCTGGTAAGATGGCATGCAGAAATTACAGAATTAAAAATATGAAATCGTAATTTATAAAATAAAGAACAATTATGATCTAAAGGGTATCAAAATTATTAAAAAAAAAAGCTTAATATTTATTTGTTTACTTTATTACACATTTCTTTCAATATAAGTTTTTTAAGATGCTTCCACAAAAAATTCAAAAAGTTCCTTTTTCTTTTGTCATATATAGTGGACTTTCCAATGCCATACTTCTCGCATAATTTTGAGATGGATAAGCCTTTATCAATTTTTTTTCAGCAATTCCACTTTGTTTAATGGACATCGAAACATGCTTTCGCTTCATAGATCCTTTGCCAACTCCAGAATTGGAAACTCTTTTTGACATAATCGAAAGTTCAAGCTTACTTTTTATAAAATTGCTCTAACAGTCTGCAAAAAATAATAAGCAGGATCCAGTTAGAAGATTAAGGAACAGTGCAATCTGCAACATTAACTGAAATGCCTTAGATAACTTAAGCCTAGCTTATACCGTCCGTTATAAATTAAACGCACATGCGTAAATGCATTCTGCGTTTATGCATGCGCATAAAGTCTGTAGCTTTGAGGTGCGGATCATGGTTGTCCGGATTACAGACTTTGTACTGTATAAAAATGATATACAAATGCTTAAAAGTAGTACAAATACCTAAAATTAGGTAAAAAAAACTAATTACACAAAACTAAATTAAATCATAGAGGAAAATTCTAAAACAAGAATTAATGAATCAATTTGCTATTCATATTTGAAAAACAAATTGTTCAGTCGAATTATATATAATCTAATGCAAAAAAGAGCTGGCTCAATTACCCGATAATTTTATCTTTTTGTGAACTTTAATTTATACCAAAGAGAATCAATAAAATTTACTGCTGGAGTGATCAAAGTTAATTATGAAAAATTTTTTTAATATGCAAAACATACCTTTCCTTAAACCTCTATTCAAGCAAAAAGCCTTAAATGCTTAAAAGAATGGATGCTGAAAGGGCTGCCAAAATTTAAATGAGCCCTGCTGAAGAGTTAACCAGAAAAGGGAAAAAAGTAGTACCAAACTAGAAAAGTCATTGGAGGGCGAATATAAAAGCACTAAAAAGAATTTAAAAAAAAGAAAGGCCTGCGCTTTCCACGTGTGATTCATTTGGTGAAAAATCTGGAATGGGGGGTGTTAACAAGGAAGAAGGCAACCTTGGGACAAATAATGGTGTCGTATGCTATTACAAGTCTTGTAAGATAATTATAAAAAATGGTGATATATTTCTACAATATTAAGTTTACACCTGGTCAAGAGGTCAGGAAAACAAAATACAGTATTAAAAAATCTAATTTCTTCATGTAATTGAGCTATAATACATCTTAAGACAACTGAAAAAGCCCTATTGTTTAGTAAAAAAGGATAGAATGCCAGTATTCTATAAGTACTTAATACTACATTCATTAAATCTTAGCCTAATTCAAAGCGAAAAGAATTTTTAATTACATATTCACATTAAATTACTCGTTAAAGTCATCCATTGGTTACCTTCTTTTCAGGTTTGGGTTAAAAATATCAATTCACTGAAAACAAGTAATCTAAAATATAAAGTTAATGTAGGCTTTTTTTTTTTAAAGCGAGCGAAATTGTGAGTCTTAGAATTTGATTTTCTATGAGGAGATTTATAAGTTTTTGTATTTTTTCTTGAAGATAATCTGTTTTGTTGAAAACTTTTTTTATTCTAAGAATTTAGGTACTAATAGTATTAATTATAACTTTCTTGGAGATGTTGGAATTCGAATTCATGAGTTTAATGGGATGAAAATTGAAATCTCTTCTTTTATCATAGCTTCTAATAAGTTTGCAGTTTAAAATTTGTAAACTAAAACTACTTCTTGTTGTTGTAGGCTAGTTTTGCTGAGGCAAGTAGGATAGGTATTTGTGTCTTCGAATTTATTACAGCTATTGAATGCAATGATGTTATCCACATATCTGTAAATTTTGGAAAAATAATTACGTTGATCATTAGTTAGTGAATTTTGAAACTGATATTCTTGTGAGAAGAGGAATGAATAAGTTATAAATTGCAGATGAGGTGCTCAACCCCATTATTATAACCCGTACTTGCTTGAAAATGTATTACAGTAGAAGTTCAGAAATCCACAAAGCCTTGGGTCCAGAGGTTGTGCAGATTTTAGGATTTTGCGAATTTCAGGACAGAAAAGATAAATCATAATATTCAGATTCAAAGTGCAATATAAATAAGGCATATTAGATACATTTAATTAAATTATTATATACATTATTGCAATAATTTATTATATGCATTAAATTATTATTACATATATAAATTGATTATATTATTCATTGTATTATATGTACACAGCATCCAGGTTTGCCGATTTCGCCTCAAGCAAAGATTTCCAGTTTCGGATTCCAGTGTTACAATCACTGTTGCTATAAAATTTAAACAGCTTTTCTTTATTTTTCTGTATATCATACACAATCTTGTCGCAATTCCATACGATTCTGCTATAAACCGAGGAGTGGAACCTGCCTCCATCTTTTGCAGAATTTGCACTTTGCATTAACGTCAATGCAAAGTGTTTACGTTTTCAACGTTGCAAGCAGTAAAATCATGAGTGTGTTTCTTATCTGTCATTGTATTAAAAAGGGCTGAAATTAAAAATATTCTTAATTTATCCACAAAATATCCGGATTAAATAAAAGGCAGCACTAAATAATCTTGTGAAATAACAAAGCTCAGTAAATACAACAACGTGAATCATGAACTTGAAAGAAGAGTTGAGTGAATCGCCTGCTTTTTTACCTCGATGCAGATTAGAGGGAAAAAACTTTTATCAAGATGTCAATAATTTGGTATTTCCGTTATGACTCATCATTATTTGATAAGTATTTTTTCTTTGATATTTTGTACTCAATGTTGCAGTTTCCGGAACCTATAAACTGAATGTTTATATTTTGAGAGGCAATGCGGATTTCAGGTCAGTGGATTTTTGGTATTTGACTGTATTAAATTTGATGTAATTGTTCTCTTCTTCTTTGAAGACTATTGTAAAAATTTGCATAAACAAATCAGGCAGCGTGAGAAGACTATCAAATATACCTTTTAACCATAAAGTAGTGTAAAGATTTTCAAAATCATAGCAATTAATATTCTTAATATCTAAAGACTGGAGCATTCCCAGGATCGGTATGTTGTTATTAATAATCCAATTGAAATTGTGGTGTTGAAAATTAATATTATTGATAATGTAAAGAACTTGTTTCAGCATTTTAGCAAAAACAATGTAAATTTCTTTCAAAAAATTTTTTTTACCATTGACTATGAATCTGTACTTGACCGGGGTTTTGCGAAATTTAGAAACACATAAAGATTTGCGAATTTATTGCACTAGTTGTTCCTAATTTTAAGTCTTCAATGTAAAGCAATCAACCTCTTTTGGAGAATCTGAGTGCTTGTATTGATTTGTTGATAGGTAGCAGTACTAATGAGTCTTTGCTTTATTAAATTATAACAGGTCTTTCATAAAATACTGAAGTTTTCTAAAACTTTCTTATTGTGATTGTACTGAAACTGGGGAAGACAGGTATTTTCCAAATAAATGGAAAGATGCTATAGTTAAAGAATTTACAATTAACTACTACAATAAATTCACAAATCTTTATGCACATCCTAAATTTAACAAAACACCGGTCAAGTTCAGATTCATAGCCAATGGTACAAAAAATTCATTTTCTTTTTGCTAAAACGGTAAAACAAGTTCTTTACATTATCAATAATATTAATTATTAAATATATTTTAGTGCGCCCCTTGGATTATCGCTAAGGTGTTGTTTCACTTATGGTAACCTGAGTAGTTTAATGTTATGGAAACCCTGTTATGACATGATTGGTTGCGTGACTGCGTAGAATTTGATTGATGAGAAAATATTTGTAAGGGCTTTTTATGTGTTGGATGTTGATTAGGAAGTACATTGCTTATTTTGTGTTTTACACAGTAAAATGGCTGTATGTGATAAGATTACTTGAAGTTTCTGCACGATTTGGAACAAAAGGGGGAAAAAAAGCATTAATTGACTGGTGTGTCAGTGAATTAATGCTTTTTGCTTTACTTAGTAGCCATTATAAGTGTCCTGTTTGTACTAAGGAAATGTGTAAACATAAAATCGAATGTAAAATTGTTCAGATGGCTTTGAATGGGTTTATTGCAAAAAAGGTTCAAATGCTCACGATATAAAGTGTTACATTAGAAAGGGAACATGGTTTGAGGAAACTCATTTGAGTAGTATTAAGATTTTGATTTTTACATGGATGTGGGTGTACGAAGTTAATACTAAAATGATTAAGACTGATTTAAATATCAACAATGACAAGAACTTTTGTAGGGATGAGTATGCCGATATATGTATTGGAAAGGTGAAAGGATTGAGAGTTCTG